TTAATAACTGTATGATTAGAAGAAGCATTTCACTAGAGCTTTAACATATTAAATAACACACTCCAGAGCAAGAGTACATCTCTTTCACAAGTGGCTGCAAGTTTCTAGGTTCACAGTTGAATTAATAAAGTTATACAATATTGAACTCAGTATAAGCCCTGTAAGACATAAAATTGAATGAGTTTTTAACCTTTAAAAAGGATCTCCATTTCATTTTAGAATATATTGTTCCTTGCAGAAAGACTCATTGTTTTTGCTTCTAACACTGAGATGTTGGCATATGCATCTCTAATCTATATGTATCTGATTATAGTCATATCTAGTCAGAATCGGTTGCACTTGGATCCTTGGTGCTTGTGTGTGTCTATAAAGTCATCGGGTAGATTGCAGTGGTAATGTTTATCACCTCTACTAATTAGCATGACGTAAATTTCCATGCTTCCTCCTCAAATATAATACATTTTTAAAAATTGTTGATTTTTTTTGTGTGTGTAATATCACACAGAACATCCCAAACCATCTTATTCAACTAACTATACACCCACTTCCCAGATGGCACCCTCCCATAGCCTCCCTCCCCCAACTAGAGCCCTTATACTCTGATATCCCTGCTACTGTCTGCTGTGTTGTCAGCACCCCAGCCATTCCCCACTACTTGCCCTTCTGGTGAATCTAGTCAGCCTATCTAGAGGTCTTTGTTTTAGGAGGGTCAGCTGTTCCATCTAGCAGCAATCAGTTGTCAATATTCCTTTAGATAAGAATGGGGTCTGTTGTTCATTTTCCCAGTTCTATGCGGGTTACTATCTGGGAGCCCTTTGGCCAGACAACAACTCAAAAGAAGGTATCTCCTATCTGGCATTGTTGTTTGTTATGTAGCCTTTAGCTATGCATATGGACTCTTAAGAAATTATATTGGCCCCTTTAATCTTTGGTTATACTTTCCTTTTGGGTGTTTAAGGCCATACAGTTGGCCAAGATAAGCCAATTTATTTTTACTCTCAATGTCGTTTGAGGAGTTTTTAAATTCTATCTCTAAATTATAAAACAATATTAAAGTCTTCCAGAGTCAATAATATAAAATCAGTGCAGTCATCCCTCCCTATCTCTGAATACCATATCCACAAATTTGATGAATTTCAGGTGGAAAATATTTAAAATATAGTAGTCTGTTCATTAAACTTGAACAGAAATTCTTATAATATTCCTAAATAATATACTAAAACAACTGTTTATATAACAGCATGCTACATATTCTAAATCATCAATAGATGATTAAAAGTTTACAGGAACATATATATAGATTATATGCAAATGCAATATCATTTTATATAAGGATCATGGACATTCATGCATTGGTTTCTGTTTTTATGGCAGATCCTGGGACCAACCCCCCATTTGTATCAGTAGATGACTGCATTGCCTGTAGTGTTAATGCCAAGTTAACCAAAATATTCTAAAAGCTGCCTATTTGCATTTATATACATACATAATTGAATGTTTTAGAAACAAAAGAATGGTAAATAAGCAATATGATATTTGATGCATAAGTGCGTATATGAAATTTTTAGTCTACATTTCACGTGAATCAAATAAAATGTACAGTAAGATATAGACCATTGTCAAATGTATGAAAATACCTTGAAGCATTTGAAAATACAAAGCTTTTTCTAAAGCATGTTACATTGGTGAGAGTGAGAGCATGCAAACTCAGTCAGACAAAAACCCCTCATAGAGCTGGGGAAATGGACAGCAGGACCCATAAAAACTATTGGCAGCTGATTACTACTGGGTGAGAGAGCTGATCTTCCTTTAGGGAGTGACTCTAGATAGGCTGACTAGACTCCAGTGGATGAACTTACACGGAGGGACCCTAACATATAAGACAGAATGCATGAAATGCAGTTGGGAGATATGGGGATGCAGATGGGGGAAGGGATGTAAATATGATTAAGATGTTTTATATGATGTGCACAAAAATTCATAAAAATATACATTGAAGAAATAATAAATGTTACATTGAACTACTGACTAGTACTAAACATTTATGAAGGAATGAATTGTATTTATATTACTAAGTAACTTGAGTTCTTTTCCCAGATCTCTGACCAGGATTGCTGTAAATCAACTAATGAGAGAAGAAATACAAGAAAATCAAAAGGTTTGCTTGAATTTCTTGAAATTATTTTTAATTTAACATACTAATTCGCCATTTTACAATTTAATCTTGTCTTTATAAAAGGTAAATGTTAAGTTTCTGCTTTTTGATTATTAAAATAATCCAACATCTTAAATTTTTGTATTGTCTACTCTATGCAGTATATATCTGATTCTAGCTAGTCTTTTCTGACATAGCTCCTACTTATTTCATCCTAGTCCCCAGACTTTCTGCTCCTGTAGTAATACAGTTAATCTCTTTGTCTTTATTACTAATTTTGAGGCTTAGGAAGACCAAGTTAGGGTGAGACTACTGGAACATTACTAGACTCCTATAGCAAATAAGGCACAATTGTTCAATATTTGATAAGATTGTTCCAAGTGGTCTAAGTTAGCATTTACTTAACAAATTATACTATGTTAATATTTATGCTAATGCTTATACTGGACATTGCCTAGCTCTATTTCATAGGGATGATTTGTTATTTAAATAATATCACACTAGACTCATATGGTCCTAAACAGTAGTAATTTATTTTTCTCATATGAAAAGATATCTCAGGGCTGGGTATAGTGGTACATGCCTTTAAACCCAGGACTCAGGAGACAGAGCAGGTAGATCTATATGAGCTCAAAGCCAGCCCAGTCTACACAGTGAGTTCCAGGATAGTTGAAGCTACATAGTGGGTTTCTGCCTCCAAAAAAACTGAAATGAAAGATGTCTCAAAATAGATACCTATTGATGTTCTAATTATAGTGCTCCACAGTGTCAGGGAATGTTCATAAAAATACCAAATGGCTTTATTTTGGGTGATAAGATGGCAGCCACAGCTGAAGACTTACTATCTGTATTCAAAGCCAAAGAGGCAAGAAGAATGTTAATAACCACATTCATGCTCTTAATGCCTTCCTTAAACACTTCAGGACATGTGGTATATATCTCATGGATTAGAACTTTGTCATGTGGCCACCTCTAGCTGCAAAGGAAGCTAGAAAAACTTGTATTTATTTTCTTATAATGGAGGTAAGCAGAAAATTGGGCTGGGTAAGGTGCTAGGTTTTCCCACCAGCACTGCTCTCTCACTGGTATAATTTTGTCAACTGTTTCAATGATTGCATCCAGCTACACAGATGGTAATAAAGCAAATATGATTTGAAGAAAAGTTATTGCATTCTATACACATGCCCCTACCTAGGATATTCTTTCTCTCTTTGCAAAAATTTCTAGGTCTCTTTCAACACTGAGTTGTTAATTGCCCCCTTCTGTAATTTTACTAATTGCTCCCACATCTTTAAAAAGGCTTTTTTTTCTTTTGAGTTCCTTTTATAATTTGCTTCTTTAAGATCACCTGAAATAAGATAGGAAAGAGGACAGAAGAGAGAGGAAAAAGAAATAACCAGTGTGTCAGTTGTTTTACACAATTGAAATTGAATTGTTCTCAACTCACTTAACAGCCCAAAGTGGGTATTTTTTGTCATCAGAACATTTTTACTTGTGATAATTTGAATCTAAAGACTGAAAGATTTCATGAAGTTTAAGAGATGTTGTGGGAATAACTGAACATTTGTTCAGTCCAGAGAATGATCCATGATAGCCATGTTTTTAAGTTTTAAATATGTGAGTCTATTAAGTTTATAGCAAGTAAAACTATTTAAAAAAAAAAAGAAATGGCTCTGTAGGTAAGAGCATGTAATTTCATATTGTTGCTGAGTGGTCCAATTCTTCAACTTTATCATTCAGTCTTGATACTTTGTTTTCCATTTTATTCTCTCTGTTGGTGAGGCTTTTTCCTGTCATTTCATTCACATTGGATTATTGTGTTTTTCAATTCCATCTTCATTTCAGCCTGAGTTTTCTTCAGTATTTCTATCCCTTTCATGGATTCATTTTTCAAATCCTGAATCATCTGTATCATTTCATTCATCCATATATTTATATTTTCTTGAGCTTCCATCAGGAGTTTATCCCTGCCCTCTTTGAGTTGTTTGTGTGGTATTTAAGTTCATTGAATTTTTTGGTCATGTTTATGATTCTTTTAATTCTGTGTCCTGGTGTTCCTCTAAGTAGTTCTCATTGTAAAGCATTTCAGTAGGACAAGTAGGTTTGGTCTAGACATATTAATGTGGTGGTTTTTCATATTTTTATTTTTTCGTTGTGGTTTGGGCATGTGGATTTCTTTTTATTGCTTGTGTTTCAGGTATGAAACTCAAGCCTGTCTTTGTTTAGTTGAAGTTTACTTCTGTTTATATTGTTAGTATAGCTTGGTTGCTTTCTGATTGGGTATGAACAGTTCATTTATGCTTCAAATTCTCTCTTTTGATTTTTTATTGGTGGGACCAGATAGATCCAGACAGACTAGTTAGGAGTGCTCCAGGACTGAGCATCAGACAGACACTTATTCTCTGTGTGTCACCAGTTGTGGAACTCTGTAATACTTTCTGTTGCAATAAGAAACTTTTTTGATGAGCGGTGAGAGGTATACTTGTCCTTAAATATATGGGTACATATTTAGTATACACTAAGAAATTTGTCTGGGGATGTGACAGACACAGACACAGGTTTTTCTCTAGGATCTGTGACCTCTCTCGCCATGTGTATTTGGTGGTGTTTACAGTACCAACATGAGTTCCCTCCCATTGAGCAGCTTTAGGTAATCCACAGCTATCTGATCATACTTTTAAAAAACTGTCGTATTTTTCATACAGTATAGTTTGATGGTACTTAGATCCCCTCCCCTCTCTAGACTTCCTCCCCCACACATACAAATTCCAATTTAATGTACTCATATATGAACTAGCCTGTAGGGGACATGGGCATTTTTATACAATGGGATAAATAGTAGTAACCTCTACTGAAAATGGTTTCTTTCCTAGCTGTTCTTAGAGGCACAGGATTTTAGCTGTTTGTTGTTCTCCTTTCTCCTTGTTACAAGGCCAGGGACAGGGAGTCACACAGGATATGAGATAAACATGCTTGAGTTTGTTTCAGGGGATCCCTCCTTCCTCCCAGAGCAAAATTCAACAAGTGCAAACAGCACATGATAATTTATCAATGTAATTTATATTACAACATTCCCAGTCACCAAATGGAATAATTTCAAGGGTAGCATTTGAAAGAAAAGACAATATTCCCTAGAGGTAAAGAAAAAGTGACTGGTAATCAGAGTCTTGAACCAGACTATTGTTTGAGAATATGAGACTGGTGCTGGAGAGATGGCTCAGTAGTTAAGAGCACCGACTTCTCTTGCAGAGGACCCAGGTTCAAATCCCAGAACCCACAAGGCAGCTAACAACCATCCATAACGCCACTTCTAGGGGAATCCAGTGCCCTCTTCTGGTCTCTGTGGGCATTGCACAACATGGGTGTACTTACATACATGCAAGCAATACATTCATACACGACACAAAATAAAGTATAAAATAAAATGAGAATATAAGACTGACTTGCTTTCATTAGGTGACCCAATGCAAATATAGATCACTGTAAAGAATCTTCAAGCAGAGAAACCTAGAAAGCTATTTTATGCCTTTTGCTTCCCAAAAGAACCTCCTCTGCCAATATCTATCCCATGAAAGTCTGACTCATTCATTTTTGACAAATGTAGAAGGTAAAACTAGATTCATTTAAAGATTCTAGTGTATAAGGAGAGTAGGATAGAGGGACAGGAGAAACATTTTTATAGATGAAGAAACTGGCTCAACAGAAGAAAATTATACAGGAATCAGACATGCATTAAAAAATGTAAAATGTTATTGAAGCTGAGAAACAGTATAGGTTTAGAAATACAGTGACTCAGGTTAAAGATGGACATACAGTGATAGCTGATGATGCTCAAGTAAGAAATGTGAAATTACAACAGAAAGCTTTGCAAAGGTACAGAAAGTAGAGATCAAGGGATTTCACAGATAAAAACAACAGTTGCAAGTGATATAAGGGAGAGTTGGCCTTACAGAAAACAGAAAAGACATGCTTAAATTACAATTATAATTTCTAAAGTAAAAAGATAAAATCTATGTATGAATGGATATTATGTATAACTGGGAAAATTGACCCAGAATGACCAAACACAAGGGAAGAACTATTGAACTCTAGGGGGGAAAAGGGACATGTTTGTGTAATAGATTATAAGGAAAGAAATGCAGATTGGTAACAGACTTCTCAAAAACAGCATTGAACATGAGGAAACTATTCTACATGTGGAATATCCATAGAAATGAAGCTGTCTTTCATGTAGATATGTGTAACTATGTACATATAGGCTGAAAAGAATATTGGGCATGAAGAATTCACAGAATTGCTAAGGAGATAGTTCATAGTTAGAACACTTGCCTAGAATATGGATGTGCAAGGCTTTCTGTTTGATTCTTCAAGCAACACACACAGACACACACACACACACACACACACACACACGAAATAATTTGCTTCCAATCAAGCACTTTATAAGTAATTTTCTGAGGAATTTCTTCTAATCAACAGCTAACTGAAGATGCTTTAACAAAATAACTGGTTATTTTGTATGTATTGCATATTTAAAGGACTGGAAGTAAAATATTACCATTATATAGGGCTCAAGAGATGGATCAGTGGTTAAGAACACTGGTTGCTCTTGACAGAAGACCCAAGTTCAGTTCTCAGCACTCACATAGCAGCTAACAGCCATACATAACTAAAGTTCCAAGGTATCAGACACCCTCTTTTGGTCTCTGTGGGCATTGCACAACATGAGTACATTTACATACATACAGGCAAAACACACACATAAAATAAAATTACCATTATTGTTGGTTAATTGATATTTTGCTTTGTTTCAAGGATCTCCAAAATAAATTTGAAATTAATCCAGGTGATGCTCATCTATTTATAAATGGCCTTCTTGTTAATATGGATGTTTATGATCCTTTTAGGTAAGTTTTAAATTACTAATATAAACTCTGACTTATATAATAATAAATACAGTCTTGAATTTAGTATTTGTCAAAATGCAAAAAAAAATTAAAATTAATCAACATTTAAAAATTTTTGACATATATACATTTATGGACTTCAACATGATTTTTTAAATTATTTTATTAGACTTTCATACAATGTGTTTTAATCATATTCACCCCTCTCCCCAATTCCTCCCAGATCCACTCACCTTCTCTACCAACTTTGTTTCCTTTTTTTTTTAACCCTAATGAGTTTATTGGGCTTGCTAACAGAACATAGGGTGGGGGTTTATTTATGGAAGAGTGGGAATCTCCCCCCATATATATATAGATCCTGTGACTTCCTGACAGCCACACAAAATGGCAAGAGATGTGCCTCATGATGTTCTTGGCATATATATCCTCAGCCTCTCCCACACATGCAGCTGAGGTCAACTGATTGGGCAAGACGGGTAACTGACACCCCCACTGACTCCTTGACTAGCATGGGAAGGAAGTGTGACTACAGCTTGCTGGCATAGTTGTCAGAGGACACTTCCAGTTAACACTCCACCCCTTCCTCTGGCTCTTACATTCTTTCCACCAACCTCTTCTGCAAAAGTCCCTGAGCCTTGGAGGGGGTGATAAGTGTAGGATGATCTTTCTCCCATTGTGACAAGGCACTGAACCTTCAGGTCTCTGCATCATCTTTTGTTCATGGGCTGTTATTTTGATACATGTACATAATGTACACGTATACATATATATATATGATAGACATAACAGTCTGTCACCTCGAAGATTTATCATTTCTTCATGTTCTGGACATTAAATCCTCTCTTTGGTGTTCTGAAATACAACAAATTTTTGTCAACTACAGTCACCCAATTCTGCTATAAAATGTTCTTCCTATCTAACTGTACATTGGTACCTGTTACTTATCCTCTCTGTCCCCCTTACTCTTGTATACAATGTTTCTTATTGTGTAAAACAGTTCTATTATTTCGTTGTAGTCTACCAAAATGTCCAATCCCACAGTATCTTAAAATGTCAGAACTGGGAGATATCTTAGAGATTTGTTCTGGTGGCTACTAGAACTATACTGATTCCATTATTCTAGACTGTCTTTCACTTAAAAGTAGGTTAATGGTTTAACAGGAAAGTTCTTTGGGACTAGACTTAGTAATTCTGGGATCTCTACCCTCTAGAACAGAACTCAAAGCAACATAAGATGTTTCTCCAATAGAAATTAACAAAGATAATTCAAAGTATCTGTGTCTGTCAGAAAGCAAATATGAAATTAGGATGCTGGATGATGTCAAGTTCTGTAGGTCAAACAAAATTCTTTAAAAACATTTATGTGGAATTAAGAAGTCCTTTATTTATAAATATAGGCATATCGAAAGAACCAGTTTTTTTTTACTCATTGTCCAAAATTTAAGATTTAAAAAGAGTAAGGAAAAAACTGCTTATTGTTTTTTTTAATTTGATAAATGAAACCTAAGGACTATCTACCATAAGATGAAGATACAAGCAGCAAATAGTAGTAAGATTCAAAATTCCATACAAGCAGCAAATAGTAGTAAGATTCAAAATTCCATTTCCTTCTGATATGTTGTGCTTCTCTGACATTTTCCTTTGAGCTAAAATAAAAAGACAAAGCTATTGGGGTGGGGGACTAAAATTATGTCATACAAAGACAGGCTCATTAAACACCACAAAAACTTCCAAAATGGAAAAGATATTGCTAATGTAATTTCAATCTCATCTATAATTACAAATCAGAAATTATAAACTAAACAGCTTAAGGACTTGAAGGAAGCCTGCTTAGAATGTTCTTGCCACTTCACAGCACAGCATGAGCTTGATACACAGTACTATAAATACTCAGATTGCCCTAGCTTTTTACCAGTGAAGTTATTTTCTATTGATATTGTTGGAGCAATAATACTCTCTGTCATGTGTAAGAAATACCAAATTGTCCTACAGGTTGGATATCCCTTTTCCAAATGCTTAGGGCCACAAGTGGTTCAGGTTTCTGTTTTTCTTTTAGTTTGAAATATTTGCATATACAAATTAAGACAACTCAGCTATGGATCCCAAGCCTGAACAGGAAATTTATGTTTCATACACACTTAATACATTTTTAGTATGCCCATGTTTTGACTGTAATCCATCATATGTTGTGTAAAATTTCACACTTATGACATCAGTGCTCAAAAAGGTTTTGAATTTCAGATTTTGAGAAAAGGGATGTTCAACCTATTTATGTAATAAATTCCAATTTGTATTCTAAGCATATATTTTCTTTCTTGCTTCAATGGTTCTTTTTGTATATTGACATTTTTTTTGTATCTGTTTGATTGATTTTGTAGATTTTCAAAATAGTGAGTTATTTCCTTATTTTTTCCTCATTTTTACTACTTTTGTAAAGAATGAAGTATTCATTGTTATCGTTTAAATAATAGCAAAATGTTATTATCCCACAACATTGTCAGTGCATTTCTAAATAAGTAGTTAGGGGTACTTGTTATATTTATTGAAGAGTTTATTTGAATAATACATTTTCTTTCTATTAATAAAAATTTCAACAGAAATTTTTTCTAATGTTTTAAGAAATCTATCAAACTTGGATTGGGAAGATGGGAAGATACCAGAAAGTGCTTGGTAGAGGCCCTGAATTTAGATCCCTCCAGCATCCACGTAAAAAGCCAAGCATGGCACTTATGTTTTAGGGTTGCCAGACAAGTCTAGGCAAATTAGTGAGCTTCAGATTCAATGAAACATCCTGTCTGAAAAAATAACATGGAGAAAGTCAGGCGTGGTGGTGCACGTCTGTAATCCCAGCACTTGGGAGGCAGAGGCAGGTGGATCCCTGTGAGTTCAAGGCTAGCCTGGTCTACATAGTAAGTTCCAGGCCAGCTGGGGCTACAGGGAAACCCTGTCTCAAAAAAAGACCAAAAAAGTAAAATAAAAAAAGACAAAACAAAACAGAAAACAAACAAAAAACAACATGGAGAGTAATTAAGAAAGACACTTGACTTTAACCCATCTTCAACACACATGTACACACATGTGCAGACACATACATGAACAGATACAGAAATGAAAGATAAATCTAACAAACTTTAGAAGATTCTCTAAAAAGTTTGACAAATAAAAATGAAATTTCTTTCTTTCTTAACATAAAGTATTTTGGATATGCTGAAATCAGAAGGAAAAATGATGAATGGCCTTCGAAATCTTGGGCTTAATGAAGAAGATAGGAGCAAAATTTTAAAATTAAGTTCACCTGTTTGGGACTCTGACTATATTTTAGATATTCGGCATTCTTCTATAATGGTAAGTATTCATGTTGTCCCTTGTTCTAAAACCTTTGATATTGTTGGAGCAATAATACTCTCTGTCATATATAAGAAATATTAAATTATCATATAGGTTGAATATCCCTTTTCCAAATGCTTAGGACCACAAATGTTTCAAGTTTCTGATTTTTAAGGCTTAAAATAAACCAAATATTGGCAACATTTAGGATAAATTTAAGCATTTTGAAACAGTACTCAGGAGAGAAAGCCAAAATACAGGCTCATCCTCTTCCCCTTGTAGTGTCATATAAGAATATCTACTCCAATTAAGAATCCTTTCCAGAGGCTGGAGAGATGGCTCAGTAGTTAAGAATACTCACTGCACTTCCAGAGGACCCAGGTTCAGTTCCCAGCACCCACATGGCAGCTAACAACTCTTCTTAACTCTAGTTCCAGGGAATCTGGTGCCTCTTCTGATTTCTGCTTGCACCAGGTGTACATGTGGTGCACTTACCTACATTCGGGTAAAATATTCATACACATAAAATAAAAAATACAATCTTTTTTTTTTTTTTTTGGTTTTTTTGAGACAGGGTCTCCCTATAGCCCTGGCTGTCCTGGAACTCACTATGTAGACCAGGCTGGCCTTGAACTCACAGAGATCCACCTACCTCTGCCTCTGGAGTGCTGGGATTAAAGGCGTGTGCCACCACGCCCGGCTAAAAATACAATCTTTTTAAAAAAAAATCTTTTGCAACTTTAAAGATAAAAACAGAAGAGGGGGCTGGAGAGATGGCTCAGTGGTTAAGAGCACTGGCTGCTCTTGCAGAGGATCCAGGTTCAGTTCCCAGAGAGTTAACAACCATCTGTAGCTCCAGTTCCAGGGGATCTGATGTCTTCTGACCTACATGGGCACTGCACAACACGGGTTCACTTACATATATGCAGGCAGTACACTCATACACATAAAATAAAAATAATAAAAGTAAATATTCTTAAAAAACAGAACAACCATATGAACATTAGCAGAAATATAACCCCAAATAGTTAATATCTGAAGAACATAAGAATAATACCATAGCGCAGTAAGAATTGTGCCTGGACAGTTTACAGTGACTCTATAACTTCCAGTCTGTGTACTGCAGCCTGAGAGTTTTTTGAAATATAGTCACATCTTCTTCTTGTTTAAGCACAAAGGTGATCTGTAGTATAATCTGTAAGATGCAAACAGACTATTAATATTTTTCAGTTCTCAGATTATAAAATTTCCTGTCTCATGGATGGAGAGTACTTTTTCTGTTTTCCAATTAATTCCTACTTTCTTTTCAAAAATTAGTTTAAATATCCCATGCTGAGAGAAGTACTCCTGGACAGTCTAGACTATATGATTTTTTTAAATGAGCCATCTTCAGAATAGGTTATTTAGTAGGACCCAAAGGGCCTAGAAATTGGGACACTCATAGTAATAGTTTAGTAGAAAGTCTGATAGAATTCATACGAAAGTCATCTTACCCTGGGCTTTTATTGTTTGGGAGATTTTTAATTACTACTTTTATCTCATTGGATATTATGGACCTGTTTAAATTATTTCTTTTATCTTGATTTAGCTTTGGTAAGTCATATATATATATATTTTTTTTTGATTTTGCAGTTTGGTGGGATATAGGGTTTTTTAAGTATGTCCTTATAATTCTCTGAATTTCCTCATCTCTGATCTTATTTATTTGGACTCTCTCTCTCTCTCTCTCTGTGTTAATTTGCCTAGAGGTTTGTCCATCTTATTAATATTTTCAAAGAATGAACTCTGTTTCACTGATTTTTTGTGTGTTTTTATTTCTATTTTATTGATTTCAGCCCTGATATATTATTTCTTCCCATATGTCTTCGAGGTGTGGTTCATTCTTGTTTTCCAAGGCCTTCAAAGTCTATCATTACATTATTAACATAAGATTTCTCAATTTTTTATGTAGAGTCTTAGTGCTACAAACTGTTCTTCTTAAGACTGTCTTCGTTGTGCCCCATAGACTTTGATATATTGTGTTTTTATTTTCATTCAATTCTAGGAATTTTTAAAGTTTCCTTCCTGATTCCTCCCTTGACCCAATTATTCAGTAGTGTGTTTAGTTTCTATGAGTTTGTGTACTTTCTATAGTTTACCTTGTTATTATTATTTAGCTTTATTCCATTATGGTTTGATATTATGAAGAATGTTCTTTCAAATTTCCTGTCTTTGTTGAGACTTGCTTTGTGTCTTAATATATGGCCAGTTTTGGAGAAAGTTTCATGGACTGCCAAGAAGAGTGTGCATTCTTTAGTATGTAGATGGAAACTTCTGTAGCTATATGTTAGGTCCATTTGATTTTATGATATCATTTAACTCCTGAGTTTCTCTGTTTCGTTTTTTTCCAGTGACCTGGCTATTAGTGAGACTGGAGTATGAAAGTCAGCTATCACTGTGTCAGAATCAATCTATGATTTTAGATTCAATAGTTCCTTTTTTGAAATTGTGTGGCCCTGTAAATATACATGATTAGAATGGTAGTATCTTCTTGGTGGATTTTTCCTTTAAGAGAATGAAATATCCTTCCCTATCTTTTCTGACTAGTTTTAGTTTGGAGTTAATTTTTTCAGATATCAGAATAGTTCCACCTGGTTATTTCGTAGTTCCATTTGCTTATAATACCTTTTTCCATTCTTCTCCCCTAAGGTGGTATCTATCATTGATGCTAAGGTGTGATTTTTGGAGGCAGGAAAACAATGGATCATATTTTCTAATCCAATCAGTGTGTTTTTATTGGGGAATGGATACCATTAATATTCAGAGTTTATTATTGAATAGTGTATATTAATCCCCATGTTGATTTTTTAAAATTTTTTATTGAATTTTTGTGTATTTCATACAGAACATCTCAATCAATCTTAACTTTATACCTCCTTTCCCACTGGCACCCTCCCATAGCCTGCCCCCTATTGAAATTCATACATTCTGTCATTTGTGTTAAGGCCTATTGTGTCAAGTTAGTGTTCCCAGATATTTCTCAGTGCAAGTTCATCTACTGAGGTCTAGTCAGCTGATGGAGAGTCCTTCACTTTAGAAAAATCAGCTCTTCCTCACTCAGTAGTAATCAGTTGCCAATATTTCTTCAGCTAAGATTGGGGTATGCTGTCCGTTTCCCCAGTTCACTGCTGGGTTTTTGTCTCTTGAGTTTGCATGGGTCTTGTGCATGCTGACATCATTGCTGTAGGTTCATTTAAGCAGGGTCCCAGGAGCTTGTAGGACTCTATTTCCATATGGTCTTGCACTCCCTGGGTCTTACAATCTTTCCATCCCCTGAGCTCTGGGTGGGTGAAGTTTAATATAAGAGCCCTGTCTGAGGACCAACATTCTGTAGACTCTTAATCTCTATGCTTGGCCATTTGTGACCTTTGGTGCTCCTGGACCTCCACTGCATGAGGGAGCTTCATTAATGAAAACTGAGAGATTCATAAGTCCTCTTTGCCCGTTGCTCTATGTTCCATGAGCCTGAGGTATAGAGGTTGCATTGTAGATGTGCCACTTAGGCTTGGCCAAATCACAGACAATGTCTATGTGTGACCAGTTGTGGTACTCTGTAATAGTTTCCATCTGGTGCGAAAGAAGCTTCTTTGAGGATTGGTGGCTGGGATATTTGTCTGTAAATATAAGGATACATATTTTGCACATAGTAAGAAATTGCATTAGTCTAGGGATATGACAGTCGTGAGGTTTTCTCTAAGATCTATGACCTCTCTAGCCATGTGTATTTGGCTGTATTTGAAGTACCATACATGTATTCCTCTCATTGAATGAGTTAGTCCAAATGGATAGCTGCTGTTTGCCCCCCAGGATAAAAGTGCCACTACTGCACAAATATCATATGCTGTGCTGGCCACTCATATGGTTACATGGTCTTGAACAATATGGTGTTAGACCATCAGTTGATGTTCTCCCTTAGCAATTTGCGTAATGCTATCCAAAGCTATGAGAACTAGCCTTCAGGGGAAGTGGCTTCCAGGTTAATTCCAGCTCCATTGTTCCAAATCCTATGTCTGAAATGTGTTCTGTCTTCAGCAGTAGGATCTTAACTTCAAGATCTGGGAGGCCATGAAGGGCTGTGGCAGTAGCCTGTGTAATTTTGGGAGTCACTTGGATCACCTTGGCCAACAACTCAAAGAAGTTTTCTCCTGTCTTGTGCTGTTTCTTGTTATGTGACCTTTAGCTACACACATGGACTCAAGTAGAGATATTATATGTGTAATTTTTCATTAGATTGTTGAACTGATATGATTCCTTCTGACTTTTTACACTAGTTAGGCATTATTTGTCTCTCCTCTCTCTACCTGTCTAACTCAGATCTTTGGTTACCCATCCTGGTATAGTTTTATTTGTTCCCTGTGACTTCTTGAGTGTGTATATCTTTCTGTTTGGATTGATGTACTCCTTCTCGTATTTTCTGTAGATCTGGATTGTATAACAAAAACTTTTTCCTGTTTTTTTTTTAAAAATAATGTTTTTGTTTGTTTATTTCATATATGTATACAATATATTTTGTTCTTATTCTCCCCCAATTACCTCTCTCCAAATCCTGTCAGGACCCATCAACCCACCTTCCTATCTTCTTTTACAATTACTATTATTAATAGCTCCCTGAGTTCCATTAGTGCTGATCATTTGCAAATTGGAGTGGGATCCATCTGCTAGGGCATGAACAACCTATGTGTCCACATACCCAGAGAAAAGTGACTCTCCCCAACACAAAATTCATTTAGTAAAAAAAAATCTTCTTTGGACTCATTCTTCCTTGTGAGTTTCCTTTTCCTTGCTTTTAGAATGAAAATATTTATCTTTTCCATTATATACTGTAAGTATGTATGTGTATATATCTATGATTTTATGTATCTATATAAAATATAGGAGACACACATAAGCAAAAGTCCATGATATTTGCAAAGAGAATTGATGGCCCCTATGCAACCCTACACAATAGAATATTCCTTCTGTACTTTCCCATTTAAATT